TTTTAACTCTAAAATTTTTTAATATTTGCTTGTCAATGAATATTTGAATGAAAATAGTTACTGTAAAAACTGATTACCAGATGGTTACAAATATTATGATCAAGCTCTGAATGTGAAATGAAGTCTGTTAAACAAAGCAGGTGAAGCGTTAGTCAAGCTAAAATAATTCGTTTCACTATGAGCTATGCTCAATTGTAATCATATGGTTAGACATTAAAAGCTTCATTTACAATCATTGAAAAGAACTTGTTCGAATTTATTTAATTTGTTATTAATAAAGGATTTTCCACTGAAGTAATTCTACGACACTAATTCAACTATTTAATGTCAGAAAAATGTTATTTATCAAGTATGTGTTATCTGAAACATCACTTTAAACCGCATTTTCATATGTTTAATACACATAACTCTGAGAATAAGTGTGTTTTCTAAATATTTAACCTGTTCGTACAATCACTAGCACACAATCAGTTTAGCTGTCTTTTAATCTTTGTCAACACTATTGTTTGCACAAAAGGTTTGAAATTATTCTGAATACTTAAACGTTTTATAATGTCTATTATAGTCAACTTGATCTATTTTTTCTTGTTAAATATTACATTAAACTTGATTATTCTTCGTTCTTGTATTTCATCAGAATACTTTGCTTACTTCCTGTTAATGAAGATAGATAGACAAGTAAGCTACCCATAGTTTAAAGAAAGAAATGCACATACATAATTACTGGTTTGTGCATTACATTATTTATCACTTTAGGATATATATGCATTTGATGTTTGGTCTATGAAGTAGTCTAGAAAACAGTGACAATAGCTGTCATATTTGCTGCAGTATTCACATGCATAAGACAGCGTGCTCTCACTACAGATACTAATTATGATTTACCTATACATATATAGTCAAATCATATTAATGAAAGTGGATTTATTTCTGAAACAAAAATATATCAATGTATGTAGATGTACAGTAAAATAAAAAGTATAGTTAAACAAATTCTATAAGGCCGATTATAGTCTTGAATATAAGATTAAAGACATCAATAAAATATTGTTTTAAATAGATCATTAGACAATTTTAAAAAGGCGGTTTGTATGAATACACAAAACAATTATAATTCCAAAATCATTTAATTTAAATGTGTATGAAATTGTTTCGTATTTATTAAAATTTCGGTTTATCTAGATCAATTTTCATTCATTAGTTTAGTTTTGTTTCTTTCTTGATAATTTGTTATAGCCTCATTGGTTTTTTTGTTGGTTGGATTTCCTTTTCATGTCCATTTACAATTCGTTAACATTTTCAGACAATTGAACTAAACATATTACTATTGTGTACTTTTCTTTTGGAATTTGAACGCTAGTATAATAATAATTCATAATAATTATTAATTAGAAATGTATAATTTTCCGGAAGTAAAATATTACCATTTATTTTCAATAAAACTTATCCTAAATAGGGTTTTTGTAGATTAGCATTGGTAATAATATCAGTAGTAATGTAAAAAAGACAAGCTTTTTATTATGGTATCGAGAATTAAATTAATAAAATTTCAGTATGTGAAGAATATGAACAAAAATAGATCTCTTAGAAAATAATATACTGATTTGAAACATGCAATGAAGTGAATAGGACGAAACGCGCGTCATAGATTCCATTGCTAATCACTATCCATCTTTGCTTATAAGGCTTGTGACTTCAGACAATATCGAGGCAGTCGGCACAGGATGCACATATGCCAATAAGAGACTGATCAATCGCAGTACTAAATAACAATCAGAAGATACAATTAAACAACACCAAGTGAATATGAATAGTTATAACGTTAAACTTTTATAGAAATACCATTATTCTATAAATATAATCTGTAAATACAATAGGAAAAAATATGTATAACTTTATCGACTCATTTTTTTTCTATTTTATAACAATTAAATCATAGATATACATTAAAGAATAAAATAAACTTAATAAAGTGCTGAAAAATATCGATTTCTTATCATGCAACACATTTTAAGTTGAGATGCATCATGAATTTTATTATATTCCAAGTATAAGTAATTTATTTTCCAATACTACCGTTCTGTAAATGAGATATAATCATAGATGAATAATATATTATTTAACCGTATTAAGAAGTGACGTTTTCATTTTAAAAATACTATTTTTATTCATACAATTTTATTCTGAGTATCAGTCAAACATCATCTAAGAAGTGTACAGGTTTGCTTTTGCTAAGTTTCAAAAACCTTAGAAACAGTAGCGGAACGTTAAGACGATACATAATACATAATCAGTCTATATCATGACGTTTGATGTTGTCTTTTTGATCACTGATAATAAATAAGAGTAACAAAAATGTATTTCATATTAATTAGTACCTTTAAACTGGCTGATATCTGAATAGTATAGTCCTCAATAGTGATCATATTCTGTTGACGCTTTCACAATCTAATCATTAATTCAAGTGACTCAATGTCGACATCTCTGGTTACGTCACTTGTGGTAAGAATTTGAATCACTTAAGAGCTATATTTTCTTCAAGAATACTATTAAATTTCATTAATTTATGCCAATTAGCATTAAATTTATGTTGATTTTCTTCAATCAGTTGAAATCAGATATTTTACAGTGAATTTGTATATAAAAATTAGAACACACTACAAAACTACCGTAAGCTATACACGCACACATACACATTAGAAGTTGATTTTTGAATATACTACTCTTAAATAGTTTTTCTTTGATTTAGTTATTCAGGGATAACATAAAAAAGGATTTATTAATTTGAATGACATAATATTCATTTTTCATACTATTATCAAATAATAAAATATTATTATTAGTTGAAATCCAATAAGACATTTCAAATAAGCATATAATGCTTGTCACTCTTCTTTATTTATTCTATTGTTTATTTTTCATTTCAGGTGAACAGTTATTTTGATTGTCTAATATATCCTTCCAACGGTGATATTTCTTTTTCTAGTCGTTTTATATTGCTTGTTATTAGTTTGTTGTTAGTGTTGTTGTTTTTATTATCTTTATTCCACTGAATTAATTGATGTCATTTCTTTAGATTTTTTTGGAACTATATATGACAAAGTAGTTTACTTTTTTTCTTTCCTAGAATAGAACATATGTGTATGAAATAAAAAATCTTGACAATATACAAAAGACAAGAATAAAAACTCTATAGAGAATGACTAGCTAAAATTGAAAAAAGGAAATACATAAATGAAACAAATATGGAAAGAAATTTAGTAGACCTGTTTATTTAAGTGATTTAAGGTGAATTTCATTAAAATATTAATGAAATAATTGAGAATTATGGAACAATTATATAGATGGGGTATTTTTGTTACACTTTATTCATTATTAACAAGAAGTATAAAAGTGGTTATGAAAAGCTAATAATGAATAATTGTTCTCTTACTCAAACTACGAACTACATTAATATTTATTTTTACTAATTCACATAAATAAAACTTTGATTAAGTTATACTGAAGTAAGGTGAAATAAGAACTAGGTCATTAGATGAAAATTTGGTAAATTTAGTAGTGTGATAAAAATATCAAATGTGTATGAGTTCAATTATTCTATAATTTAACATTAGGTTGAGATTAAAAATTTTATTGAATGAAAAAGTGATTTGTCGATTAGTTTCTAAATTATTTTGTTGTGAAATTGATACTACTGAAAAATATCAGTATAAGGGTTATGGAGATTATTAAATTTTTGATTGAGATCATGAACCATCCAGTGCTTTCAGGTTTTCAACGGTGGTCAAACAACATTCGGTTCATGATCCTAATCAAATACTGAAAAATACTTGGATATATTTCCTTAGTGTTTATATTTCTACTATTTTTCGTCATAAATATTGAATCGCTCGTCAAAACTATATTTCGGTCCAGAATTTGATAGACAATTTAATTATAAACCCATGTACTCACCTATATCAGCCGAATTATATTTGTATAAATTTGCATACTGATAAAATATTTCAATTTATGATATGAATTCTACTAATCAGTTAAAACATACTCTCTAAAACTGTTTTGTTCCAAATAACAACCCTTAATAATAGACAAATTACATAAACTTTTCATGATTTATGAATTCTGGTAATTTCCATTTACTAATATTTTGTAAATAGAATAGAGATACTAAAAATAGAATTGTTTATGATTGAATGCAATTATTGATTAGTAGTTAGAAGAATTCAAAACACATGTTTGTTTGTTTGCTTTTAATATCCAACACTTATTAGTCTTAATTATGGTCTGACATTTCAGAATACTTAATTAGTGTTTGAATCAAATACTAGCTGTTTTCTTTATGTCTCTTAATAGGCAATTAATTTCCTTGTGCGGGTTTTTCCTTCGTTTATTATTTCAAATGAAGTAGTTACTAATATATTTAAATCCAAAAATACTTATTTTGATCATCATACTGTTGTAAATATACTTGATTTACTAAGAAAACATTGTTGACAGTTGATTTATTGGACAAAACATTGAGCTTTCAACGTTCAGTGTATTTGTTCAAATCTTAAATAAACTGTTTTATTTTTAATAACTCATTTTAGGTATAGCACAAAACATAAGTCAGAGTTGATTGCATAAATATATACATCTGGTTATCAAGTAATCATTATTGGTAACACGAATGCTTTTTTCTGCTTAAATACGTATTTAAGAGAACACTTCATTATTTTACAGAATAAGTGAGTATATATAACAAAAGAATATAAATTCAAGAAAGAAAACTTATCTGTTAGTATGAGACTAACAAATTATTAGGTTGATTACCGTACAGTGTTTGAAAACTTGGACTCGACTTTACATTTAAAGTAAGAGCCAATTTTCCTATATTATGTTTCACTACTGAAAAGTGTTTCTACACTATTTTCACACATTTTTTTCTTGAGTTTTACTTCGTATGGAAGTTCCATAAAGAGCACCTTGATAACAGTTTTCTCGTTTATTTTTCTTTTCAGATGGCTGGTTTAATACTAGGCTTATTATTATTAAGAAGTTTTTCAGTGGATGACTACCCAGAGATTAATTTACGTGAAAATGTATGAACTGTCAAGATAGAATCAAACTTACACATATTTATATATCTACTCATAAAATTTGCATTTTTGAGAAAAAACCGATTGATAATTTTCTTCATTCCAAAATATATCAATCTCCTGTCTGTATATCTTTCTCTCTCTATATATTTTTTATTCTGCTCTTGTTTCTTGTTTTATTCCCAAACCTATTGTTTGTATTTCATGTTCATTTCACTGTATCATTTTTTTTGTTTCACAGATCTACTTTGTTTTTCTATCTCTCTTTGAATATTTTATTCAAAAATATAATCAATCGTTTTCATTTGATGTTAAAAAGGCGGATTACATAAAAGACTTGATCAATATTATCTTTATTCATTCGTCTATTATCTGTCTCACTATCAAACAAGGAATAGAATACTAGCATAAACATTCTGCTATCAAATATATACATATATTCATATAATTTGTTTGTTTCAACGTTCCCTCATGTGAGCTTAATTTCTTCTGCATATTTTTTTTTGTTATCGATGCCAGTGAGTTTTAATCTTATTCCATCGCTAATATATATAAGAGTAATCATTTGGAAGGAAGAGTAGCAAGTTATAATTTTAGTGTAAGTCAATAAAGAAACATTAATTTAATCAGAAACAATAATGAAATTATTAAGATGTATACATATATCTATCTGTATATCCCTCAAATATCAGATACAATATTTATACATATTTTCCTAATGGATTCTTTTCGTCTTTATCTTCTTGTCCTATTATCAACCATAAGATCAATTCGCACTTCATAAATTACAAAATTGTCTTGAAAGTTTCACTTAGTTTATATATTTATTACAAGTTTATTTACTATATAATGCATAACAGCTAGTCTATTTTTTGATTTTTCCTATAGCCGTTTGTTACTGTGTTGTTAATTCTTTTTTCTTTTAGATTTACTGAAGCTTATTTAAACTTTAATAACTACCTTTCTATTCATTTTATTTGAAAATAATTTTATTTAAAGTAGAAGGCCATCATTCTATTTTACATTTAACACAGTACGAACAAGAGTAGTGTAAACAGTTTGTTTAAAAGTGACATCATCTTGTAAATCCCGAACCATCTGATTTCTTAAACACTGTTAATTGTACAAGAATATCAGACATGTAGAGAAAACATTACTGTAATCAATTTATAAATATTTTTTGATCTATCCATTGGTTTACTTGTTAAGTTCATCACATCATTATTAACTCATCTCCACGTTGATTTTCATATGTTTTATTACAAATTTGTGTGATCAATCAATATTTGTGTATTTTTAATAAAAGCATTGTAAAGCTGTTTTGGTGAAACAATAACTATATATTGTACTGGTCAAGACATTATCTTTATAAATGAAATATTAAAAGTGAATTTGTATTAATGTACTTTATGGAGAGTTGATCTATTTCATATTGTTAACAACCAGTTAGCTACTGAAAATGATATGTAATACTAAACAATATGCGTATCAACTTACAGCTCTGTTAAAAACCAAAACCATGTTAATTTATAATGAATATCCCAACATAATGAATCAAGTGAATAAACAAAAGAGTGATTATTACTTTACGATGTGTACTAAGAATAAAAAAAACTTGACAGACGAACACGTCTAGATTTGATAAATCTAATAAATTGAATTTCTTAGACAGACAAAATACTATAATATGATGTGGTTACCTGTTAACTACTCACAAGAAAGCTTAAATTTACGCAAGTTTGTCCCCAAATAAATAATTTTAGTGTACTTACCAAACGGTTCATATAATTAAATGCTGCATTCAAAATATCACTTCACTAATGTACAAGTGAGAAACAAGAAAAAGACAACAATTATGTTTTTTAAATTATTTTCTGATATCAAAGCTGATGATAAACAATTACAAAAACTGATTCATCTAAAATGTGCTACTATATCGATAAATAGAATCATATTAAAGCCTGGAATATATTAGAATAACTGAACTGGAAAAAGTACAATAAACAGAAGGAAAGAACGATACCTGAAGCAATAGGTTCATTTAAATGTCTACCGATTTTAAATATCATTTAACCTCAATACGTCATAACATATCCAGATTCTAACTATATTTATCTTCTTTCATAAATGCTTACAAATCTATTTCATTGACATAAGTCATACTGTGTTATTGTACATTTATCCAATCCTTTGATACCCCATAGGTTTAATACTTTAGCATTAAAATGTAATCCAATATTCTCAATTATATAATGAAATATAACACTTATATTATTCAATAATAATAAATCAATATTGATACTAATAAAATAAGTATATCCTAGAAATGAAACTCTTTGACGTACACATGTTTTCATTAAATCTAATCGAATTTCATTATAGCAACTAATTGTATACATCAGCTGATAAACATAAGTAACAAATTCATTTCAGATAAATGTATCCAACTTTAAAAGATATTGAATATGAGTAAATCATTTAATGACTATAAAAATAATAAAACAAACTCTCTTTTATTTCTAATCAATCCAGAATAGTTATTATTTCATTTATTCATTGATAAAATTTCGTTTATCATTCTAATAACTAATTATATTAACTAATCCTATTAGATAAATAGAATTAGTGGTGATAATAGAATGATTTTTATCAGACAAATAAATAATAATAATAATCATATTATTATTATGCAAAACTCTTTATCTTAATTGGACATTAAACACATTACTCATATAATCAATCTAAGCGTAAAAATCATTCATTAAAGTGATGAGACTATAATATACCCGTAAAATTTATTATATTTATAGGAATTTTCAGTTTTATTATTCTTTCTAACTAATTATTAAAGTATACCTATTATAGTGATAATTATTACTGTTATAGACACAAATATAATTGATATCAAATAGTATTCATTTTGGTTCCTGTAGTTTTTGTGTAAAACAATTATAAGAATGATAATAAAAAAAATCTATAGACAGCATCGTTTTCTAGGTATATATTTAAGTACAATTCTCGAGGGTTAGTGAGACGAGAGTGATTGTTAGTAATGTTACAGGGTGAGTATTAGAACCTTTAAAATTGAATTTAGATGTTCAATTATTTCAAAAATGTAAGTGGTATTTGTATTATCAAAATCTATTTTTCAAAAAATGAAACTGTAAAATAAGGTTTAAGAATATTATTTTACATTGATTTTTTGTTGAGTACGGATAAATATCATATTTATCCAACCCTCGAGAATTCCTTTTGACTACTGTTAAGTACTTAACATAACCTTATTTTTTACGTTTTAAAGAGGCATCAGTAAACATAAATTGCAATAAAGGAACACATTATCAATACTAACTGTTAGATTAGATAGAACTAATCATTTAGATTAGTTTACAAAGTAAATAAAGTTTTGTCATGATAGTAAGTTTTCTTGCTTTTTTCTTTGGTGAATGCTGTGACATACTCAAAAGTAATTGTGAACTATACGTACAAAGAAAATATATTCAATCTGTCCTCTTACTGTAGTCATAATTTTCAGTTTTCTAAATCAGTCTTCTGTTTCTTTCACTTTGTCGAACTCTTGCTTTTACTAAAGATTTATTGCCGTTTACAAAACAGTCTTGATTATGTTCCACATTCAAAGCTCTGTAGACTTGTTTAATAACTCGTTTTAATAAATAATAACCTTATCCTAATATCTCTAAAGCTTGCGATTAGTTTCGCAAACTACAACTTCGTTTCAATTCTTTCACTAAGAATAAAACCTTTCGTACTTTATCTATCTGGCTGTTTGATTACCGAGTTCAATTTATTACAATCATAAGTCATAGAATATCACTGTACAGAATGTATGCATTTCCAGTTGAAAACACGAAGAATAAAATTACTTGACCATTGTCTCTTTTATTTGGTCTATTTCTCTGATAACGTGCAACGTGCTCAAAAGGTCTATTTCAATGGGTAAACGGCCTGTGTAATAAGAAAAGATATTATAAGTAATTTAAACGTAATTAGCTAATAATTTTAAAACTGTATCATCGGTAGAAACTGCAATTTGAGTTACGGAATTATTTACAACAGTATTTTTCTTTATAAGCAAAGATAGGTAGTGCTAGCATAGGAATCCAGGGTGTGTGTTTCGTCCTATTTGGGACTCTTCAGCTGACTGTACCTGCGTCTCAAAGTTGATGTTCACTTCGCAAATCAGTAGCTAAGAGGATACATGATAACATTGAAAACGAACGGTACTAAGTTTGAGTTCCAGAGTGAACATCAAATCTGAGATGCAGGTACGTCCAGCTGACAAGTCTTAAAAAAGCGCGTCCTGGATTACACTGTTAGCCACTACCCATCTTTGCCTTTAAAGCTTGTGAATTAAGGCAATATCAAAGCAAACCGCGCAGGATGTACACATGCCAATAACAGACTGATCGAGTTCAGTCTTAAATAGCAATGGAAAGATACAAGCAAACAAAATCAAGTGAAGCATTACTCTTTTTTCTGAAAACAGTTTTTTTGTAAATTACGTCTAAAGCCGACAACAACTATAAGGAAACTCTGAAGACTAAAGAATCTTAACTGAATATGTGCTTAAAAGAGAATTACCTATAATTAATTAATTAGTCAAATATTTAGATATTTTAAATAATAAATTTAGATATTCTGAATCCCAGTTCTTTTTTGTTAGCACTAACAGTAATTTCAATGTGAATCGAAAGCATAATTATTATATATTTCGAAAAATGTGGGATTATTATAAAATTTAACTAACTGAGATAATATTATCATGATTTGGATTGATTTAGATTTCTCATTCTTGATAACTGGTTTTCACTACTTTTTTTTTCTTTTTTAGGATTAGAAAATCCTTCCATTTAAAGTGAATAAATGATCGAAAAACAGATATTATATGTTACTAGGTAGATAAATAAGTTATGTAATGAAATATTTATAAATGAATATGGATATATGACTTTAGAATAATCATATGACTTAATGATGTACGATATTATTGTCAGAAATACTTAGTTCAACTAATAACTGAGAACAAGTAAAAGGAAATATTTAACACAAAGTTCTGTATTCTGATTAATTACAATCACGCAAAATAAACATAACGAGAAAAAGTATTTCATATCATTTAACCAAATGTGATATAGAATTTTATCGACTTAAAAATCATTATTCATTTTATTATTTCATTTTTATACTCATCCAAATATTCACACTTCTTTTAGATAATCAGTTTATCAGAGAAAAATACCTTTGGTCTATATTGTTAAGTAAATTAACATAGTATAGTTAAAGATTTAAAAGCTACTGATTGACCATGTATCGCTGATTACTGTTGTTTGTTACTATAGGAATAAATTTATCGTATCGTTCATATTCAATATTTCAACACGATGATGAGTACAGATAGATTATCATAATACTTAATCATAAGGTGCTTTTAATAGTCATTTAGGAAAACATATAAAGTATAAAGTAATCGATTTTCGAAAAAATGTCTCTCATATACAAATTTTTAGAGCTACAGGGAGTGCATATATATATATATATAATGTAAACTATGTTTTGAGATATCAAATAAATACAATAATGGTACATTATGTTCGACAAACTTTGAATTCTGTTCGAGGCAACTTAAAGCTAGAAGACTGAGAAACTTCATAATGAATCCTAAGCAGTTTATATAACCCTCTATGCAGTTTTCTTTACAAAGAAACTAAGTCTTAAATTACATGTTCTTGTATATTTGGAAGACATAAACAGAATAAATACTATTTTTCATTTCAGTTGCTATCCATGAAAGAATGTTTATTTATTAACTAATAATGTGTATTTCCAAAGTTTTAACGCTCCAGCGTTTAACAATCAAATCAGAAACATTTGAGGAAATCAAGAGGATCCTAAACAAGCATGATATAAGAGTGTATGTTCGGGTTTGTGAGACCATAAGATCAGCATTAGTGAAAGTTAAGGATAAGTTCTCAAAGAAGGAACAACAAAATATTGTCTATGAGATCAACTATCATGGTTGTAATGCAGCTTATGTGAGAGAGACCTCCAGACAATTGAACGTAAGCTTGAAGGAATACAAATAATGTTTGAAAAGTGTTCCCAAATCCTCAGTTGAGCTAAAATTTTGAAAATAAGTCTGCGATAGCGTTACATACGTTGGAAACAGAACAGAATTTTAATTCTGAAGGGACAAAAATACTTAAGAAAGGTTATAACACTCATAAAGAAATATTGACAGCAGAAGTGCTGTATATAAGGGCGAACAAGAACAATCTAAACCGAAAGGATGGTATTCAATTTGCAACTACATGGCAAATATTCCTTAACATATAGTTGCACTCATTCTTTATCCAACCTGTTTATTTCACATGCATCTTTATTCTGACTGAAATTAATGTGTGTTATTTTTAGCAATACAATTGTACATTTGATGATTCTCATTTTAGATGCACATCAATGATTCAGAAACCGTTTTTTAACCTTCAACATGCACTATTATTTTATTTATTCTTTCATATAAAACATAATAACACCGAATATCAACTATTAATAGTTCAATCTTACCCATACACACACGTAAACACAATTCGTTCAGTTATACATTTCCACATCGTGAACTATTCACATGATTCGCATATAACTGACTTATGTTATTCTATTTACTAAAGCTAACATCCAAATGCGATTAGATTAGCACAGTATAGATTTGATCTGATTTGATTGTTAAAACGCTATATATTTCTTTGATGATTTTGATTATTATGCTGCGGAATTCCAGACAAGTTTGCTGGAAGAGACTGTGGAATTATTTTAAACTTTAATTTCTGAGATTATTCCAAATATAATTTTCACATATAATGACATTATCGAAACTTTGAAAATTCTAATTAGAATAAAGCAAATAACAAGATGGAAGTTTTAACAGAGAGAGTATATTATAAGTGTAAACTATTGAATTCAGGGAACACAAAGCTGAGTTTTATTATTCATACACATTGTTTTTGACATGAATTATAGATGACCTTAAATAATGAAATTTATTTTAAAAATAATAAATCTGTGAAAGTAATATCATCGTCATATTTGTTAATTATTTTCTTCTGTTAAGACAGTAAAATATGAAAAAACTTAAATGTCACTGAGTAAAAGAGTCAGTTAGTTTTAGGAAAAGAAGTAACTGAAACCTGAATTATTTTCGATCCATTAGTAATCGTACTAAATTAACATTGAAATTAATTATCAATGTAAGGTGAGCTTATACTGCAGTGAACAAAACACGGGTGGAGACAATCAAATGTATTTAACAACAAATTACAGAACTACTTAGTAAAATCTAACAACCATGTCGTAAATGCTCAATTTGCAAAATGTTCATCAATTGTCTCAAATCACTCAGAATTCCTTTGTTCTTGCATTTTCATACAAATCGCATTCTGTCTTCATTCTTTACTGTTCGATCTTCTCGTCTCTCTGCTGCCAGACATTCTGTTCACTACTCACGTCATGTGCTACTTATGTAGACATAAGTAGCACACACCACAATACAACAGTAATGCCGTCCAGTGCTTCCAGGTTTTCCATGGTGGTCTAGCTTCAATGGATTCATGATTTCAACCAGTAATGCATATAACCAGGAGTATTTCGAGAATAACTCATCTGATAGGTCGTTTCATATAAATCTAATCATTTGTTAGACCGTCAGCTCTATCCCAATCATAAAAATCATGTGAAAATCGATATTGAAATAGGAGTTATAGACGAATAGATATTCTGTGACAGAATTACATTTGACTATATTGGGTCATCGGTAAATGTTGATGAAAAATAAGGAAAAACAGTATGAATCCATTGAAGAGACTCTATGGTTAATTTGAATACTTGACTAAATA